AATTAAAGGTTATAATTTGGAGAAATTGGAATTTCCAGCAAAACATACCATAACCAACCATCCCTTGCATCAGTACAAACCAGCTCAGGACAAAATATCAAGCTTAACAAATGGAAAGATGAATGCCACAAAATTCTGTACATCAATTCCGACCAAAGGCAATCATAATTGCAATAGTTGTAAAATAAAGGTTAAATGCTATCCCACATATCCAATGTCAATTCTTTGAACTACATTTTCAGGTATTACAATCAACATGCCAGCCTCAGAACAATTTGGCTAAATGGAAGAGCATTGAATTAACATGCAAGACTTGCTTCATTTGCTTGAAAGAGGGAATTTTCATTATTTACAGGAAATTTTTAAAGGCTTGTGACAAACAAGGAATCATAGAAGTACAAAAATCAAACCATTAAACAAATTAATTTAAACTATATTTACTTTCACACTTCTATTGCAATGTCCCCAACTGGTGATTTCTTAACCCAACTTACTTTTGTTAATATTACATTCTGTTGCGTAGGCTTTACTGAAAAGTTATTGTTAACATTTTAGTAGAAGTGGGAAAAAGGGAGATACACATACATACATATATCAAATTGTCCATTTTTCCTCGTCCTATTAAAATGTTTGCTTCTACTTTAAAGTTCCGAAGGACCCTATATGAAGTATATTTGTCCCACAGATGTTGCCAGAGTTAGTTTTTACAACCTTCCTTGCTTTTATTTCAGATTTCTAACATTGGCAACATTTCCTAAAAAATCTGATTTTTTGCAGTATGCAAAAGTAAGTGGATGGTTAAGAACATTATACAGTAAAAGAGAAGCTGGCTATTTATAGAGGTAACATTTGTGTCAGAAAGCAAACAATATTAATCCTGTAATTTGTTTCCCAATTTCTAGCACGAATCAACTTAGCAAAAAACTAAATTTTTCCATTTTGTTCCATTTTACAAGGTCCATTAATTATTAGGTAGTTAGAATAGCCAAGCAAGCAACAAGACGAATGGTAAATAGGCACAGCAAGTAAGCAGAGCTGAACTACCTGAAAGTTCATCAAAAAAGGGGGTGAGGACTAGGTCAAGCAGGTAAGGATTGGAAGAAGTATGGAGCAGAACAGGTGCACTTTTAGCATTGCGCATAGAGGCCGATGTACAAACACAATCACCAATGGATCGGCTTCCGATGGCTTTAAAAAAAATTAAAATGAAGAGAAAAGAGGGAATCAAAGCAAAGAGTAGTATCCATAGTAATGAAAAGTGCTTTCACAAAAAGACAAAAACTAGCACAACATAAGTAAACTAGACATACAACTGCAGAAGTCAACTCTGTAACACTCCATGAGCTAGGATCTCAGACAGTCTAACAATGTTGAAAAGCCATTAAAACAGAACTTCATTACACTTTATCCCATTTTTGTGCAACAGCTTTTTAGACAACACATGCTTGAAAAATATGATTATTCAATTCTAAGCCATCATTACATAATTGCTTACACATTTTATAGGGCTCGCATAAAGAGAATCTTAAGAATCTTATCCTAATGTTTCACAGTTTGTGGCAGTAGCTTATTCAACTTTGTATCAAAGGTATTTGGGTTGTTGGTTATTGTGAAGTACACAGTTTGTTCATTCAAAAAACCATTCTACTCATTAAAAAATGGCTAAGTGAAAATGCATTAAATAGTTTTCTCATTAGTAATATATAAATCACTATATAATTTGTCTAAGTTGATTTTACAAATAAACAACGGTACACTGTTCGCACAAATGATGCAGCCAAGTGTCCAAGTGAAAATCAACTACTTTCTAGAATGAGCTGTTGGAGATTGAAATTAGAAATTGAATAAAATTGATATTTAAATGCACACTAATAGCTTGAAATAGACAAATGCAGCTTGCGCACTTTCTTGAAGCATGATGGTAAACACAGCTAATACAGAAAGAATGATGGGATAGGTTTTTATACATTTAGAAACAAAGCTAAGAATGCAAGTTGCCTTCAGGCGATGAGGAAGTAAACAGGGGTGGGGGGGAAGAGCTTGAATGAAAATTATGCTTCACAGGGTTAATGGAAGTATGAAAAAGACATCTGTGTGACTGGTATAGCCTTGTTTATTGATAAGGATATGTGATGTAAATACTAAGACAGTCATTGACAAGGGAACTGTAACTGTAAGTTTTCATTCTATGTTTCAAGGAGAGAACTTTCAAATGTACTTTCATCAAGTGTCTCTCTCACATATGTGCTGAAATAAGATCTGTAATAATTGTACCCAAGAATCAAAAGCAGCTGCTTTAAAATCACTACAACAATTTAGACACTGTGAACAGGGTCTTTGTAATTTTGGTTAGTGACACTGGATCGAATGCTGACATCAAAGCAAGGATGAGAATGTTTATTTTATTGCTCATTAGACAAGAAGGTCAGCATTGAAAATGTGCAGCTAATAAGCAGATTTGAAGATCTGAACCAGGGAACGGGTCTGTGTGCGCAATTATTAAAGATGGCACAATGTTGCAATGTTGGATAAGCAAGAAGGTGTAATGGTAACTATTTTCAGGTTAAATGGAAGCAAATTTGATGAGTGACTATGGGGCAAAACACGGTTGCCTAGAGAGAGAGAACCAGCAGGGTAAAACAGGTGGGACCTAGCTAGGATGGCTAAAACGAGAGAGGCTGTTTCCTAGAGAAAACTGCCAAGGTAAACGAGATAATTTTCTAGCCAGGTAGGGTACAATGGGGAAGACCATTTCCTTGACAGAGATCAGCATGGCATGGTGGTGCAAATTAGAATGTTTGGAATGATTATATTTAATCCTGAATTATAGAGTCATAGAGATATATGGCAAGGAAACAGACCCTTCAGTCCAACTCATCAATACCGACCAGATATCCTATATAAATCTAGTCCCATTTGCCAGCATTCGGTCCATATCCCTCTAAACCCTTCCTATTCATACAGACATCCAGATGCCTTTTAAATGTTGTAGTCGTACCAGCCTCCACTACTTCCTCTGGGAGCTCATTCCATACATGCACCACTCTGTGTGAAAATGTTGCCCCTTAGGTCCCTTTTATATCTTTCCCCTTTCACCTTAAACCTATGCCCTCTAGTTTTGGACTCCCCCTGCCAACACACCCTGGGGAAAAGACCTTGCCTATTTATCCTGTCAATGTCCCTCATGATTATATAAACCTCTATAAGGTCACCCGTCAGCCTCCAATGCTCCAGAGAAAAGAGGCCCAGCCTATTCGGCCTCTTCTCAAAGCTCAAACCCTCCAATCCTGGCAACATCCTTGTAGATCTTTTCTGAAACCTTTCTAGATTCACAACATCCTTCCTATAGCAGGGTGACCAGAACTGTGAGCAATACTCCAAAAGTGGCTGAACCATGGTCCTGTATAGCCACAACATGACCTCCTCAATGCACTGACTAATAAAGGCAAGCATATCAAAAGCCTTCTTCACTATCCTATCTACTTTCAAGGGACTAGGAAATTTGCAGTCCAGGGTCACTTTGTTCAGCAACACTCTCCAGGGCCTTACCATTAAGAATATAAGTCCTACCCTGATTTGCCTTTCCAAAATGCAGCACCTCACATTTATCTCAACTAAACTCTGTCTGCTACTCCTTGGCCCATTGGCCTATCTGATCAAGATCCCATTGTACCTTATTTAAGGTAACCTTCTTTGCTGTCCACTACACATCCAATTTTAGTGTTATCTGTAAATTTACTAACCATGACTCTTATATTCACATCCAAATCATTTGTATAAATGACAAAAAGCAATGGACCCAGCACCGATCCTTGTTGCACACCATTGGTCACATTTCTCCAGTCTGAAAAGCAACCCTGCACCACCGCCCTGTCTTCAACCTTTGAGCCAGTTCTGTATCCAAATGGCTGGTTCTCCCTGTATTGTATGTGATCTGACCTTGCTAACCAGTCTACCATGAGGAATCTTGTTGAACATCTCACTGAAGTCCACACAGATCACATCCACCCCTCTGCTCTCATCAATCCTCTTTATTACTTCTTCAAGAAACTCAATCGAGTTCATGAGACATGATTTCCTGCGCACAAAGCCACGTTGACTATCCCTAATTAGGTCTTGCCTTTCCAAATACATGTAAATCCTCTTCTTGACTAACCTTGGGCTAGAAACTTGCAGAGTTAGGATTTGAAGATTTTATTCCTAACACAATTTTCAAAAGGGAAAATTAATTTTAAACTTAAGCACTGCTAAATTGGGACTTCAAAACAAATGGTCTCAGTTTGATACAGTGGGTTCGAAGTCAAAATGAAGAAAACTGGTCGAGACTGGTTTGAGAACGAAAATATAACAACTTTTTTTCCAGAGAGAACCGACATCAATTTAAAATGCTGCAGACTTTTGTGCTGGAAAAGAAAGGGTGGAAATTGAAACAGAGTCTTGCTCCCAGTTGTTCAGGACAATTTTAAAAATGTGGCATGATGCAAGTGCATGCACTGGAAATTGTTTAGCTGCACCCCTTTGGAGAAACAGGCAAGGGTCCCGACTCGAAATGGTAACTTTTCTGCTCCTCCAATGCTGCCTGGCCTGCTGTGCTCCTCCAGCTCCACACTGTGTTATTTAAATCTTTTCTCTGGCAGATTGAGATTTCATGCCTCAAGCAGAATGGATCTTTTATGCCTTTTGCACCAGAATAGTGCACCACAAGGCACGTTATATGTGCTTTTTTTAAAAGGATTTTTCAGTCTGATGAATAGATCATTAAACTGATTGAAGAGGTGCAAACCTGAAGGAAATGAGAGAGTTGGGAAGGTGACAATTTACTCAAGAATTTGAGAAGTGAGATTAGATAAGGGAAACCAGTTTTAAGAACAGTGGTTAATGATTGTCAGAGATAGTAGGAGGTTAATGATTGTGTCTCTTTTCAGTTCAGAAAAAAGGAAAGGACATGAGTAGATAGCAAAGAAAAGGAACAGTTCAGGGTTAGGGCAGGTGTGAACCTTGGCAAACAATGGGAAGAAGGGGTGCAGCAGGGCAGTTAAACATGGAGAGATAGCAAGAACTGCAGAAAATGGAGTCAGATAGTACAGGGTCTTGACCCAAAACATCAACTTTCCTGCTCCTCTGATGCTGCCTGGACTGCTGTGATCTTCCAGCTCCATACTGTGTTATCTCAGTTAAACATGGATGTTGCTCTCAGTGTTAGTAATGAAGAAAACCATGAATTCCTGGTACTTGTTGCTGAAGCTCAGGGTCGAACAAAAAGGGGTTTAACCAGAGAGATACCCTGAGGCATGGTATATTAGTGAAACTGTACAGATGCTACAACAATGGATAAATGGACACCGTGCAACAATTGCGAAGCAGGGATGTTCCCTCCCAGTGGGGACACACTTCAGTGGGTCAAGGACATTCGGCCTCAGATCTTCGGGTAAACGTCCTCCAAGGCGGACTTTGGAATACACAACAACGCAGAGTCACTGAGCAGAGGCTGATAGCCAAGTGCAGTACTGATGAGGGCAGCCTCAACCAGAAACATGTGCTTCATGTCGCGCTGCAGGTGACCCCACCACACTATACACTCACACACAGCATACATACACAAACACTCACTCACACACACACACACACTCACTCAGATCCTCCCAATCCACACACTGTCTCCCTCTCTCACCCACGCACAAACTCTCACTCTCACACGTACCCACCAACACACACACACCCATGCACACACACACACACGCTCTCCCACGCACATGTGCGCACACATGCACACTCTCTCACGTGCACGCACACACACAATCACACATTTTCTCTCTCACACACACACACCCTCTCTCACACACGCATCCACACACTCGCGCACGCACATACACATGCACACTCTTTCTCTCATGCACACACAACACTCTCTCATGCACACAACCTCTCTGACGCACACACAACACTCTCCCTCTCACGCATACACACAACACCCTCTCACGCACACACACAACACCCTCTCACGCACACACACACAACACTCTCTCTCTCACGCACACACACACAACACTCTCTCTCTCACACATACACACAACACTCTCTCTCTCACACACACACACAAC